CAACTAGTCCAGTGGACTAATGGACCACTTGAATATCAGTCTCCATGACCTTAAGACTAGAAGAACGAGGTGGAGCCTGTCTTGGATAGACTGGATGAGAAATGTAGAACAGAACTAAAAATCGAAAAGACCAGTCTAACTGGTAGGATGGAGACCGTAGGAGCCCCCAAAGTTTATAACCCTTAGTCACGCTTTAGGTCTAGAAATGAACTCCTGCCCAGGGCTCCTTTTCAGCCAAATAATAGGTCTATGAACAGAACAAGAACACTAGTGGGATTAATCAGCCTTTTGAGATCAAAAGGGCAGCATATACCCAAGACCACAATTCAGCAGGATGAAGAAAGGTGGAGGATTGGAAAGGGGGAACACAGGGAAGAAGGACATGAGTGGCGGTACCCTGCAGAGAGAACAGTCAGGGACACGAACACAATGTGTGTGGGTTGTTGAGTGGAAGTCTGATCTACTAACAATAACACAGAACTTTAAAGAAGTCTTTTGCAGTGGGTTTGACCACTGCCGGGCTTGCTTGTTTCTTGACTGGTGTTTCCATGATGCTGATCGTTGATCCAAACAACGAAATCCTTGGCAGCGTCAGTTTCTTTGGGTCTATTTTGTTTTGTTTGAACATGGACCACTGCCTTTTATCTAAATTATATCTGGCAGAAGTGGGTTTTGCATTCTTAAAATGTTAAAGTGACTCTTTATTGTCTTCAAGTAAAATCTAGACTCTTTAGCATCTGCTATCAAAACCAATAAACAAACTCATTGCTTTTGAGTCAAAGCCAAAAATCTTTATGAAAGAACTGCTGAGCTTTCTGTTAACAGTCAAGCACTTCACCCATGGACCTCAAGGGCCCCTACCTCACCTCTAACTCTGTCTTAGTCACCCCCCTCCCTCACCCCTACCCTAGCAATTATGCATGCACAGCCTTCCCCCAACCTCATGCCCTTGTATAGCTTGTCAGGCTTTACTGAGGTGACCCTCACTTGGTTGATTATACGCTTATCATATGAGTTCTCATGGTGCCTTATGCTGTTCACTGTTGTTCCCGTAGACCACATTCTTCCTCAATTCACGGACTGTATCTTTCATTCATGCTTAGTGTAAAACAGGTAAGCAGAATGATAACTCTTTTCTTAGTTACTTAGTGCTGCTTTAACAGAAACACAAGTGATAACATTAACAAATACAATGATTTTCTCACGATTTCAAAGGCTAGAAGTGTGAAGAATTCAGGGTGCCAACCGTAGCAGAAGGTGCTCTCTCGGTCACCCCTGGGGGAGGAGGTCCTTGTGTCTTTTTAGCTTGTATTTCCTGGTTCTTTGGCAATCTCCACATAGCTTGGCATCAGTTTTCCCCCATTTCTGCTTGCTTGCTTGTTCTGATCTGCTTTCTTAAATGTCTTAGATTGGCTCAGGCACAGCCTACAGTACAGTAATCATGGCTCATTAGTATGTCAGACAACCCATTCCCAAATGGGATTATAATCATAATCACAGACATGGCATTAGGATTTAGAATACATATTTTTGTGGGGCACAGTCTATAATAACTTTTTATCTTGAAATAAACCCATAATATCTTTGTATCTTGAAATAAAAGTTGGACAGTGAATAAGGATGACCACAAGCCTGTTTGTGCATTTGAATTGTGGGCTGGCAGAGAATAGTGCAAGTTCTGTGGACAGCCAGAAGAACAAACAAAAGGCTCTCTTGGGGGAAATAGAGCCAGAATGCTCCATGAAGGCAAGGGTGGTGAGACTTCCTCTCACGTATTTAGGGATGTCGCCGGAGAGACCAGTCCCTAGAGGAGGACGTTGGGTTTGGTAAAAGGAGGGGCAGCAAGAAACAGGACTGTCCTCAACAAGATGGATCGACACAGTGGTTGAAATAGTGGGTTCAAACTACCAAAACAAAAAAGACAGTGTGAGGATGGCATAGGGCTGGGCAGTGTTTCCTGTTTTACATAGGGTTGTATGGGCCGGTGCCTAACACTACCACCACATTAGATTAGTTAAAAAAAACCTCTTTATTGATATTTTATTTCTATAGATGAAAGCTATACAGTGGTTTGAGCATATATTGCCAGAGATAGTTTATTTGGAATATTATTTTGTTAAAGTATGATTTGGTGATGAGCCACAAGAGAAAATAGGTATAATCTCTCATTTCATTTTTCATGAATGGAAAATCTCAGGTAGTAATTAACAATCTGAAGAACGAGCTTCACTTCGTGAATGATACCTGTCGTGAGCAGTTTAGTACAGAATTACTAGGGATTGTGTGACTTTGTCTTTTTTTCCTGTGTATTCCTGAAATCATAATCTTTGCTGTTATATTCGTATTTGAACAACAGGTAATTACTGATGCAAAGAGGAACAGACTTGTAGCAGACACTAAACAGCCAGAGCAGATGGCCTCGTCCAGAACACAGCTCTTGTTTCAGCATCACCATTCGGAAGCTATTGCTAGGGAGTGGGAGCACTTTGCTCTTTTCAAGGAAGTTGTCATCCTTGAAGTGCTTTGTAAACCCTCAAAGAATTTTTTTATATATAGAAAGTAACAATAGTAAGCTCACCAGAAAGAATTTTATTAGGTACCCTTTTTTGGTCTAAACATCCTTTTGATTTTTTTTTTTTGTGTGTGTGTTAAATATGTAAAACATAACAACCATGTTTAATGTATAAATTTAAAGGGGAAAAATTGCCGTTGAGTTCAGCCTGACTCCTGGTGTACCTAGAGGCAGGATAGAACCCTGCGCCATCTGGTTTCCACGTCGTGAATAACATGGAACATGCTTCTGTGCAATTGGTGCTGTGTGTGAGTTGAATTGGAAGTCATACCCTCGCCTGAGAGTGATTTTCTCCAGGGTTCTCTCTTTTGATAGTCCTCACTTTTGACAGTCGGGTCTCTAACCCCTGGTCACTGATTTTTGTATGTGGCATCGAATAGTGGTCTTGCTTCTTTCTTCTTCTCTTTTCCTATTTTGATAACCCAGGTGTCCAGCTTCACTGACTGCAAAGGGCATTCATTTCTTTTCATTTTGAAATGCTGTCTTTGCTAAGAACCAAAGCTCTGTAGATGAAGCCAGTACAGACAGGACAGAAAATTTAGAACATAAACATATAGGTGGGCTTCAAAACGTTTGTGGGGAAATTCTGTATTACTTTTTACTTTCACTTTTCCATGAACTTTTGAAGCCCCCCCCCCTTCTGTATACAAAAATCTGTCAAATATTCGAGAACAAATGAGGAATATTTTATTAGAAACTAACATGAAAAAACATCACATGGAGCCCTGGTGGCACAGTTGTTAGGAGCTCAGCTGCTCACTCCAGCTCTGCATGAGAAAGACCTGGCAGTCTGCTCCCACACAAGCTACAGCCTAGGAAAGCCTGTGGGACACGTGTACTCTGTCCTGTTACGTGCAATGTGAGTCAAAATTATATAACAGTTGGAGGGATTATGTGCATATCATACACCATTCTAGTTGATTAGACATACAGCTCATGTTTAGACTTACTTTAGTGCAAGGAAAGGCTGGAAGCTTATTCAGTGATTTAAAATCTGCATTAAAGAATTTTTTTGCAAGCAAGATTAGTCCAGCTGTTGCACAGCATGGGCACGTTTGCATATGCATAGAATAGATTTTGAGCCCAAACAGCGCTACCCACCAAGGATGATGGTGCTCCACCCAGAGATGATGACAGACCTCGACACTGTGAAAAGTGTGTGGCTCTCCACAGCCCTGCCAGCGATTATCTCCCCCATGTATGACTCAGAAAATATTCTCTCCATGATCAAATCCAGATACAACAGTACATTCCCTATGATTATGAAGCATTACAAAATTCAAATTTAATAAATCCATGGTTTCCTGGAAGTGGTGGGGTATTCTGGAAAGAGATCCTAATGAATCTTGGGGGAGGCTTAGAGTGTTTTACAATGGTTTTGGTAATAGCTACCTGGGCACGTGTTTTTCAAAACATAACCTTATAATCAGTGTACTTAATTGTCTTAAGTGATATCCATAAGACCTCAGTAGAGTAAGGGGATACGAGGGTCCCTCCTTTGTTGCAAGAGAAATCTGTTGTATTTCAGCTGTGCATCCTGAGGATTGAAAATTCATTTATTGAATTTGATATGAACTTGATGAACAACTTGCTCATGGCTTTCTGAAATTATCTTTAATTCTCAAATTGCAAAACCAAGAGTATTAATCTTACAATAAACTTATAAATGGAATGAATGCCACTATGCAAGGTTAAATAATTTATAGTTGGCATAGAATTTCCAGTTTTATATAGTAATCTCTTGATAAAATCATTATCATTATATAGTGCTTGAGGCTGTATACATAGCTTTTACAAATATGAGATCCCCATAATAGTCTGCAAAATCGACTGTGCAGATATTAGCTCTACCTTTTTCACGTGAGCACACAGGCTCAGAGAGATGAAATCATTTGGTCACACAGATGATAAGGGTGAAGCTGCTGTGTACACCCTGGTTTTGTTAATGTGTGAGTGCGATCTAGTTGTCTTCCCCCCTTCCCTTTAGAAAAAACATTCTGAAGACTAACTTTATTGGTACGAATTCTCAATAAAATTCTGTTTTTTAGGCCGAAATTCTAAATTTTGTTTCAGTGTACTAGCAATATTAATGAGCAATAATCCTGGGCATCCACAGAATGACCCAAAAATAAATATAATGATGGCCAGGGATTAATGAATTCCTAACGATTGAATGTATTTTGAGTTCCACAAAACGGTTGGCTAGAAGTTAAATACCCTATATACTCAACTGTATACGTATATACTCAAATACCGTATATACTCAGTTATAGGCCAACCCAAATATCAGCCGAGGCACCTAATTTTACCACAAAAACTTCATTAAAAATGTGCTGAAAAACTCGGCTTATACAAGAGTATATATGATATTCACTAGCTTTTAAAATCTACTTAACATATTCATTAATCTCATTATTGTAATTTTCAGACTGAATAAACTTGAAGACACAGTTTTACTAATTAAAGGAAAGATTGAAGAAGTTCATCTTCCTGTAGAAAAAGTGGATGTCATTATATCTGAATGGATGGTAAGTGTTTACAAAATGAAGATTAGTTTTATTGTTAAACATTTTTTAATTATAAAGCATTCAATAAAGCAGTAAATTTTCTACAATTCTATTCGACACATAGCAGAATAGGTGATATTGTTCTAAAATTATCTATAATATTTTTATGCTACTATATTTTGAAACGTCAACTAATGGCTTTTTTAATCTTTAAATCACAATACCTCCCAAAAAATCATAAAACCAAATTACAATTTTTTTCTACTTTTGAAATTTGTAGAGACTTAAATTCAAGGGGTTTCACAATTTTGTCCAAAAGTTCTAATTTTGAATTTTATTTTTTCATGAACTTTTTGAAGCCCCATCTTCATCCTAAAACCTCCACTGCTCTTAAGAGGCTTATACAGCTATTCAAGGATTAGCATGCTGCTGCTGCTGCTGACCTGGTCTTTCTGCCTACTCTCTAATCTGTTTGGCCATGCAATCAATCTCCCCACTGAAGTATAACTTATTGATTTTATTAACATAACAAAGTGAAGTTATTGCATTACCAGATATGTTATATATTAAAACTTTATAATGTATAATTTTCTGTTAAAATCATAAACATCAAGGCAGAATATTTACCGTATATACTTGAGTATAAGCTGGCCCAAATATCAGCCAAGGCACCTAACTACAAAAAAAACTGCATTAAGCATGTGCTGGAAAACTCGGCTTATACATGAGTGTATATGGTACTTTAAAATGTATATAAAAGAAAATTGATAGCATTTGGCAGCCGATTTGACTTACTGATACACCAGTTAGAGTAAAGATAAAATAAACAGTATTGCTAAGTAAACAAGGGTTTCTTAACCACATGGAAAGTTTGTGTTAAAAACAGAAATACAGAAAACTGTTTAGTACATGTATTGGTTAAGTGAATCTATCAAGAGCAATATATTTTGTTCAGCAATTACCGTATGTACTCATGTGTAAGCTGAGTTTTTCAGCACATTTTTAATGCCGTTTTTGTGGTAAAATTAGGTGCCTCGACTGATATTTGGGTCAGTTATACTCGAGTATATATGGTATCTCAATTATAAACAGTAATATTTCTAACAAAGTAAGAGTAATTCCAAAAAACTTTAAAGTTTTTCAGATTTTAAGTCACTGTAGACGGTACTTACTTTTTTATATGGGAAACATTGTGTTGGTTTTATTTTTTTCTATGGTAGGCTTGGCTTTTAACATTTCTTAATCAATGTGATTATTCTACGTATACCAAAGGTTTTGTATCAGCACTGTGCTTTCTTCTACAGATTGACTGGTAAGATCAATGTTGTCTTATAGAATTAGAGACCTAACATCTCTGCAAAGACTATCAAAAGATACTTTGGCGGAAGCGTGTGTGAGGCATTTATGTGACAGGAGCTAAAAGTAGTCATGCTGACGTCATTTCTTTGAATTTTCTTTATTGTTGTGAATCTGCAGTCTCTACAACTTAGCGGACAGCAGTTAGATTCTTTGAGTTATATAATCATTTTCGCCTGTCCTTTCTGAGTTCTCTTCCTTCATTAACATAAATTCACTGACCCTTAAGTTTACTACCTGCTCTTTCAAGTTTCTGTTATCTGTTTGGTCCCATCACCAGCTAGTCAATTCTATTTCATAGCAACCCCTTCGATCCAGTAGAACTGCCCCTTAGCGTTTCTGTGACGAACTCCCTAGAGGAGTAGAAAACTTACTCCTTCTCCTGGTTGGTCCCATATAAGTAAGGAACAAAACAAGGAAATAGTGCATGGTTTAAGATCAAGAAATGTATGCATATACAATCAGGATGCTGAGCCAATAGTCTGAGAAGCTGGACTGTATGAAGAAGAGCCAGCATCAAGATGGGAGGAAGGACTTGTTAACCACCTGCCATATGCAGATAACACCACCTTGTGTAATCAAAACCAAGAAGGCAGGAAGCACTTACTGAAGAAGATCAAGACTACAGGTTTCATTATGGATTACAACTCAATGTAATACAAAACTCAAAATCCTTATAACTGGGCCAATAAACAGCATCATGATAGATGGAGAACAGATTAAGGTTGTCAAGGATTTCTTTTCCCTGGGATCCATAGTCCGCACTCATGGCAGTGCTAGGTTTATGGAGTGGGTAATCTCGGTTCTCGCAAGCTGAAGAATTCACGCAGAAGCATGTTTTGGAATCCAAGTGAGGTTTTGTGAAGGACAGGAAAAGTTCCAGGTTTTACAGTTGCAAAAGGGTACCCGCTATTTCTGGACAGCGTGCCACGCCACGCAGCTGCTCTGGGGTTCACAACTGGGCACAAAAACCCACGTGGAAAAGAACACGCACACATGTGGAACTTGGGAATCCCTGGAGTCCAAGAGGCCAAGGGCATGTGGGCCCAAGTAGGCCCCAGGCATGCCCTGAGGCAGCACACAGGTTTGTGCATGACCGCTAGAGGCCTGCAAGGGCAGAGCAAAAGAGACTGGTGACAGCCCTAAAGGGGGTGCCAAGAGGACAAGTGAGCAAGGGGGCTAGAGAGCGTGCTCCCTGCCTTTATTCTATCCCACCCCTATGGCTGGGGGAGGTGTGGTTGAACGTATTGGTTAACCTCATTGGCTGAGTTAGGCCCACCTGTGTGATGTCATTTGCTGGTACCTGAAGTGGTGAGTGTGCCCAAGGTATTGGTTTTACCTCATGCCTAGGGGGTTGGTGTCTGTGTATGTTCTGTTTGGGAGACCAATTGGTATGTCTGATTTCTTTCCAACCTTCTCTATAAGGTCCATTGCAGGCATGGGAGGGTCAACTCCCCTGTCCCTAAATCTAGCTACCTGACAGGCAGCACTGAAGGAATCCAATGATGGACAAAGCTGCTACCCAAGACGTCTTGAGTGTTAAAGAACCTGTGTAGCTCTTTGAGAACCATGGTCTGCCTGTCCCAAGCCATGGTATTTTAGTCGCATTTGCATATGCAAGCTGGACACGAATAAGGAAGACCACGGAACGGCTGCATGGGATTTTGGTGTTGGTGAATAGTATTGAAATAACAGACTGTCAGAAGAGGAAGTCGATCTGTCTTTGAAGAAGCAGGGTCAGAATGCTCCTTAGAAGTGAGGATGGTGAGACCACTTTCTTCTGCTCACTCTGCAGGCTCCCTTTCCCAGGCCCCAGTGGCAGCTCTTTTCCACTGGGTTTCATTAGTAAGAAGCAGTAAGAGATTCGATGAAGAACCCAGGACACTTCTTCCCTTCTTAGTTTGCCTCTGTTGCTCTGCTGGCAGAAGTCGTGCCTTTTGTGACTCTAGTTCCTACTGGATCAATCTGATAATTCCAGCATCTGGTGTGTAACCGTGGCTCTGGGCTCGTTAGCAATCATTACCTATTTCTTTGGCCTAGAAGTGGTAGCTCCTTCTGGTTTTGCTAGTGTTTGGTTTGCCTCGTTGTCTTCTTACAGATTTATCTTAGTAGCTATCGAACCAACTTCCTGGTTTGATTTCCCTTTATTTTAAGTGGTCTGTGTAGTTTTTCTACTCTTGGTTAGACTTCAACAGATAGAATTTGGAGAACTAGTTAGGTGTATTTTCTAATTCTATTCAGAAGGCATGTGACATACTTCCAAGTCTCAGGAGCCTGAGGTGATGAATGCATCCTGTTGTTATGAAACCAACAAAAAATGGACCCCCTGATATTTCTCCTTGTAGTAGTTGTAAAGTTTTACTTTATTAAAATTCCATTCAGTAAATTCTGATTCCTAGGGACTCAATAAGACGGGAGAACTGCCCCTGTGGGTTTCCTACTCTTTAAGTAGAAAGCCTCATATTCCACTATTGGGCTGGTGTGTTCGAACTGCTGACCTTGCAGTTAGCAGCCCAACTCGTAATCTATGCCACCAGGGCTCCTGATTGACTCAGTGGCAATGGGTTTTTGGTTACAGTAAAAACTTACAGAACTGAGAATAGTATTAAGAATAAAAGTCTTCGAACATTGATTGTTCTAATATATGTTGTTGCTGCTGTTGTTAGGTGTGGTGAAGTCAGTTCTGACTCACAGGGACAACAGAACCTGGTCCTGCACCATCCTGCCAATGTTCTTGTTTGACATCATCATTGCAGCCACTGTGCCAGCGCTTCTCATTAAGCACCATCCTCTTTTTCACTAAAGCCCCTCTTTGTAACTGAGCATAATATCCTGCTCCAGGGATTGGTCTCTCCTGTAACCTGACCAAGTACCCGACACCAAGTCTCACCACCCTTGCCTCTCAGAGGTTTCTAGCTATATTTTTTCCGAGACTGATCTGTTTTTTTTTTTTTTCTTTTCAGTAGTTAAATGTTGCTTAAACCTGTCAGTAATTCAGTTATTTGAACTAAAAAAAAAGTTTTATACTAAAGGTGTCACATGTTTTTATCACTAATGTATCTAGATGTTCCGAGAAGATATATATTATGAATGGGCATTTAAAAAGGAAGGGTCTCATTTTAATGACTAATGGTAATATTCTAGTCCCATATCTGTTTCTTTCATAGTAATTAATTTTTGAAGTGTAAATGCAATTTTTAATTTTTAAAAGTAAATGTCAGTTTGTAAAGAAGAATATCCGTGAGCATCATGGGAGAAAATGTTGAGTATAATTTTCTTTCCAGATGGCACCCCTACAGGTGAAGCAGCAGCCTATGAAATTACAGTCTGAATTACACTGCAGATGAGCAGGGCACTTGGAGCACAGCCTCCTGATATCAGTAATAAATGAGTTGGTTCAGAACCAAGGACAATTCCCAGGGACTTAAAGGCTCACATAGGGAGTCTATAGTAAAATGAAGTTTAACTAAAGTGGAAAGTTGAGAAAAAGGACAACTACTATTAGGAATACACAAAGGAAGTTTTTCTTTTTTTTAGGGGGGGGGGTTGTTTGAACTCTTTATTGTGATGTAGGGGAAAGTTTACAGAGCAAATTGATTTTGCCTCCAAGCATTCACATACAGTTTTGAATCATGACATTAACTTGCATCTCTGCCACGTGAACAGCATTCTTCCCACCTCCACGTTTTACCATTTAAATTCCTCCTTTTTTTTTTTTTCCAAATCTCTTCCTGCAAAGGAATTTTTTCATCTGATGATATTTTTACTTAGGTCAATTTCTCACTAATATTATATATTGGCTTATGTGTATTGTAGCATATGGCATTGGCTTTCAAAATTAATATTTCCACAATGATTATTTGCCAAAAGCCAACAACTCAGCAATATTATGACTTATACCTATAATAAATTCTAATCTTATTTAGTATGCTCTGAGTAGGTTTCCATTTGTGAACACATGGATTCTTAATTATAAATGTGGCTTAATATAATACAACTACCAAATAATATTTTCAATCAGGCACAGCAATGCAATAAGCAACATAGAATAGTAATTCAGAACTTGACCTCTGTAGTTAGTCCAGACAGGACAAGGTTTAAATTGTGTCTCATTTACTCACTATTGTATAAGAGTGAGAAATAATTTTTAGGCCCATATTATTTTAAACTTTTGAACCTTTCTAAGCCTCAGTTTCCTCATCAATTAAATGGGAATAATAGTAAAATGCATTTTCAGTTTCTTGCTTTCTTGTAGAACTAGATAATTGTAAAGGTACTTATTATAACACATTTTAATAATTACCACCATTATCATTATTTGAGAAATTGAATTTTAAAAGATGAAACAGGATTTTAAAATAACTAGTTTAAATTTAAACAAGAAAAATAACAAAAGCCATCACCATTTCAGCAACTATACAAAGAGCAACTCTTACTCATTTAAAAAATCACTTCATTTCTGTTATTTAGCAGGTCTCCAGAAATATAGCTTAAATACTTAACTTTTCTTGTAGGTTACATTCTAGTAAGAAGACAAGATAACTGCAAAAAATCATGTTTTAAATCATACGTTCTTGAAGACAGGCAGAGCAGGGAAAGGTAGCCACTTGGTGGGGGGAAGAAGTGGCTATTTTATATGGAGATACCGGGGAAGTTTGTTTTTTCTTTCTGAGGAGGCAGGGGTTGAACAAAAACCCGAATACTGATGAATGACCAAGGAAATAGTTAATCTTGATTAAACATGTTTAAAAATATGTAATCTCTTCCCAATATGAAAAGATGCTTTCTTACTGATTTGTTGAATCAGTTATTTAATTTAAGATTAACAGTGAAAATTCTGACAGATTGTGAAAATTGTAATCAATGGCAATGTAGAGAATTGCATAAAAACTGCCAAATAGGTACTTAATTTGCCTTGTATACTTTCACCTGAAATGTTTTTTTTCTTATAAGAGAGGAAAGAAGGTAGACTTATAAAAAACCTGCAGTTTGCAGGTCACCACCTTGATTGCTAAAAGCAAGGAGGACTTGGATCACTTAATGATGAAGATCAAGACCTGCAGCCTTCAGTATGGTTTACAATTCAATGTAAAGCAAAAATGTCCTCACAGTTGATTTCACTTTGAAGACCAATGGGAACCCGATTAAAGCCATGATATTTTCAGTCACCTCATATGCATATGAAAATTAGGCAATTAAAAGGACGACCGCAGAAGAATTGATGCACTTGAACATGGTGAATCATAGAAGAATATGGAAAGTACCTCCACCTGCCAAAAAGACAAACACTTCTGTCTTGGAAGAAGTACAGTACAACCAGAATGCTCCTTAGAAGTGAGGCTGGTGAGCCACTCTCACTTCTTTGGATGTAATTTGAAGAGACCAGTCCCTGGAAAAGGACAGCATGCACGGTAAAACGGGAGATCAGCAGAAAAGAGGAAGACCGTCGAAGAGATGGAGTGACACTGAGGCCGCAACAATGAGTTCGAAGATAGCTATTGTAAGGGTGCTGCAGGGTTTCTTCCACTCGGCTTTGCATGCCGGCGCTAGGAGTTGAAATGGACACAAAGGCATCTAACGGCAAAGGACAGAAAAAACAGCGGAGACGAAATACATGAAGAAATCCTGTTTGGTTTAGCCCCAGTTTTGCCTTGAAGCATATTTAATTCCAACAATAACTCCAGTAAACACAGTGTGGTTCAAACATAAAGCACTTGTCTCATGCAAACGACTAACAAACTGAGCTGCTGACCACAGGCTGGGTGTGCTCTGGAAGGAAGACTTGGTGATCCGCTTTAGACAGTCTGCCCACGCGAGCCCAACACACCTGGTCCCTGTGAGTCAGACGCGAATGGCAACTGATTTTATTTTTTCCCTTAATGGTTATTGTCACTTCAAAGAGGAGGGAGCCAAGGCACAATTATGTTAATTTGCCCTGGGTCACATCAGGGAAGGGGCTCAGCTGGGATTCAGACCTAAACATCCACCCTCTTAGCCACTGTGCTATTCATACTGACCATACCGATTTAAAATACGGAATAATGTAACTCTCTGGTGACTTGTTAATAATAACTGTGTCTTACATGACATAACTAAGCATATTGCTAGAAGGCATTACTTTAGTTTGATTCAAAAATTTATTATTTGTAGTATATGGAAGTGAGATGGAATTTGAATAAACGGAAACAAAAATACATAGATTTAGCTAGGTACTTGAAAAGATTAATACGAAAAAAGTTTGTCACAATGTCATATTGATAAGAAACTGGTTTTTGCCCTCTTCCAAGAGAGATGGAAGTGTAGTGAGTATTTTAATTTGTACCAAAGAGTGAATCTATTATTTAATCATGTTTCTTTAATATGCAGCAGTCTCACAAATGGGGCTATTTTTTGCCTCCTCTATTAGGTTGTTCTGCTGCTGATCATTTCCCCAGAAAGCGGGTAGGCGTCTCCTCTTTCAGTAATTGTTCCCGCCTACATTGTAGTTCATGTTATCAGCAGACAAATGCCTATGTGTAAGCAGGTTATGCATGCAAATCTGCGTAATTCTTGTAAGATTGTTAGACTTCTCATGTGAAGTCCAAAAGTTCCTTGTTTGATACATAGGTGACACTGGGCAGGAACTAACTTTTGAGAGTGTGACATATTGGTGACTACTCCAATCTCCCCACCCAGTGTTTTTTTTCCACTCTGAATCCTTAATTTTCCAAATATAAACACATTAATAAAAGAGCATTCTTGCTAAGTCTTTCGGTGGGAGGCAATTACTTTCTTATCAGTGAATTAGTGTGTAAGATGGGGGATTTAGAGTTGCTAGCAGGAATTTAATTAGGTTCATTTATAAATGATTCAAGCATGAGTTATATTTTCTATAATTTTAAGTTTACTTTTATAACTTAAAACATTTAAAGAATTTTACATCTATTCTGAAGGTTATCTACTCTGGATTTGCAAATGTGTTTGTTGTGTTTATTATTTTTTTGTTCTGGAGAAATGTAAGAATGTTTATTCAGATGCTTAAGGAATAAATATTTGTGTACAAAACAGATGAGTGGGTGACGACAAGTTTGTGTTAGGATGTTTACCTTAGGACAGACTCCCATTGCTTGACTCGGTGCTGTGCTCGGTCTTAAGCACTCTCCCGAATGTGAAGTTGAAGGAGAGAGACTTGAGGTTGGCATGGACTTCTCATCAGGATTACTTGGTCATTTCTGTAACAAGCTGTGTGATATACCATTCAAATGGACTGTGTTTGTGACATGAATAGCCTCAAGTTTTCTTTTCCTTCGGGTTGATGATCCTTTCTTGGTAGAATATTACCAAGATAGGGTTTCACAAGCTGTACGGGGACCTCCAAGTAGTTGGGGGGAAATGGAACTAAAAGATATTGGTATGTTTCCACCAATATTTTGAAGCCTCTTCATATTTCAAGCAACACTAGTTCTTCAAGGTGTCGATAGACATTGAATAGCAGAAAAGAGTTCTGTTGTCAAAAGTGGTATCTTGGCTAAAATACCTTTGCTTGCCTACAACACATCTCAGAACTTTGCATCTTTTTCTTTACCAAGGAGAAAGTCACTAAGCAGCAGATATTTGGGGGAAATGGTGCATTAGACCATAATTTCTCAACCCCAACATTAGTTGTATTTCAGGCCAGATAATTTTGTTTTGTACGGGACCATCTTGGCTTAGTTCAAGATGTTTAGCCTCTCCCCCTGGGATGCCCCTTCAGTTAGGGTCATCAGAAATGTCACCAGATATTCTCAAATGCTCCCTCCGCCAAGGCCAGAAATCTCCCCGAGTTGAGAACTGTTGTGTAATATTGCAGCATTCCTGAGACGTAGATATGGCACATTACCAGACTGTACTTGAAACTTTCAATGAGGAGGCTATAATAGTCTGAAAAGAAGGACACTATAGAAAAGGTACACAGCATTCTATGGTAATAAACCCTCTAAATCCACCTTATACACTGGCCTGAATTTTCTAATATTTTATAGAGAACCATTTAAAAATTTTCTTTCCAACTAGAGGATATTATATGATAAAGGCAGAAGTACATATTCATTTAAGAAATAGCCCAGATGTTTTCACTGATCTTCTTAAAAGTATCTTGCATGTTTCTAAAATGCATTTTCCCCCCTTTTTCATGCAGGGTTATTTTCTTCTCTTTGAGTCTATGTTAGATTCTGTCCTTTACGCAAAGAACAAATACTTGGCAAAAGGAGGATCGGGTGAGTATAAAATTCTATTTTAATAATATAATTTTAGTCTGGCAGAACCAAATGAACCTTTAGATTTAAAGTAAACTATGCATGGCTGAGAAAGTTCCCAATAGAGATGACGGATGTTTCCATTAGACGAAGCTGGAAGACAGTCATTTACCATATTGTTGATAGAACATTATATAAGCTATACAGGGCGTCAGTTCATGGGATTCTCAAACACTTTTTATAAAATACTGAGGACTAGACTTTGGGAGTGTTTTAATATTCAAGTCAAAGTCCAAAAGAAATTTTTTCTTTTTAAAAAAAAAATCATTTTATTGGGGGCTCATGCAACTCTTATCACAATCCATACATACATCCATTGTGTCAAGCACATTTGTACATTTGTTGCCCTCATCATTCTCAAAACATTTGCTTTCTATTTGAGCCCTTGGTATTAGCTCCTCATTTTTCCCCCTCCATCCCTACTCCCCTCCCTCATGAACCCTTGATAATTTATAAATTATGATTATTTTGTCATATCTTATACTGTCTGTCTCCCTTCACCCACTTTCCTTTTGTCCATCCCCCAGGGAGGAGGTTATATGTAGATCCTTGTTATCGGTTCCCTCTTTCTACCCCACCTTCCCTCCATCCTCCCGGTATCTCTACTCTCACTACTGGTCCTGAAGGAATCATCAGAAACTCTTTTCATTTTTAATCTTCTTGGCTTTTGGTTCCTCTTTCCCCCAGTAACATATTTCATATATATATATATATATATATATATATGTGTGTGTGTGTGTGTGTGTATGAAATTATATTTATAATTTATGTATATAATTATAAATTATTTTACTTTATTATTATATATTTTAATTAATCATTTTATTGGGGGGGCTCTTACAAATTCTAGCAATCCATTATTTCAATAGTATTAAGCACACACTGTACATATGTTGCCATCAACATTTCCAAAGCAATTTCTTTCTACTTGAGATCTTGGTATTAACTTCTCTTTCTTCCCCTCCCTCCCTACCCTCTCACCCTCATGAATCCTTGATCAGTTACGTATTATTATTGTTATTCCATGTCTTACACTGTCCTTTGTCTCCCTTTGCCCACCTTTCTGTTATTCGACCGCCCCCTGGGGTGGGGGGCTATATATCCAACCTTGTGATGGGCGTATTTCATATTAAGATGGAGGTTATTTACTTTAATGGAAGTTTTCCATGGCGACATTAAATCCGTAAGTGACTTCTTGTGATGTAATGAGAACACTTAGAGTACTGAGTAGTTCCTGAAAGCACAGCTTGCTGTATAAGCAGATCCAATACATTTGGGAGGCTTTCTTTTTCCGTCTCTGGAAAACTCTGAATTCTGTTAATGCCATATACCCAGAGTAAGGTTATGATCAGTTGTAAGCAAATACAATGTTCTCCTTCAGGGTAGGGATTATGTATTGTTCATCCTGGATTCCTCAGTATGCTCCATAGCCCCCAGAATATAGAGAGAGCCATCATAATACATTTTGAATTTCCCATTAGAACTGCAGCGAAGAGCATCTGTCCCCCTTCACGGGTGTTTCCTACACCTTCCTTTTTCAAGGCTTCCGATTCAGCAGTCAGGGCTCCATGATCAGAATACACTGAATGGAACTGATGAAGAGAAGATCTTTGAACTACTGCATAAGGCATTTCACCATATGTTTTCTTTCTTACCCTTCATGTTCTGTGAAATTACATTACATTGGCCCTTATGGTACAAGTAAAAATCAGTAAGACCAAATCTGAATGACAAAGAAAATTCTTCATTAAAAAAAAAAAATCATACTTGTTTGGTGATCATTCAGAACATACATAACAGAACAGAGACCAATTCAAACATGTTTACTTTAATTACACGCCTCAAGATGAATGACAGGCTTCATCACCTTTTCTGAGTGTTTCTCAGTAGCGTAGTCTCACTGCCTCGTAAGGTTCCTATCTAATCTCTTGCTAATTTGAACCCTTATCGATCACTTTAAAAGCCCAATGCTCAAGGCAGACCTTTTTAAGTTTTACAAAAACTCAGGATAATTTTTGTTTAATGATTAAAAATTACCTGAGGGCAATTGTTTTAGGAGTTTATTTACCTTCCATGACTCCAGAAAGTCTAGAGTCAATGAGAATTTGATTTATTTTAAATCATTTTATTGGGCTCGTACAACTCATCACAATCCACACATCCATCCATTGTGTCAAGCACATTTGTTGCCATCATCATTCTCAAATCATTTTCTTTCCACTTGAGCCCTTGGTATCAGCTCCTCATTTTTCCCCTCCCTCCCCAACCCCCGCCCCTCATGAACCCTTGGTAATTTATAAATTGTTATTATTTTGTCATGTCTTACACTGTCTGACATCTCCCTTCACCCACTTTTCTGTTGTCCGTCCCCCAGAGAGGGGGTTATATGTAGACCCTTGTAATCAGTTCCCTCTTTCTACCCCACCTTCCCTCCACCCTCCCGTTATCTCCACTCTCACCACTGGTCCTGAAGGGATCATCTGTCCTGAATTCCCTGTGTTTCCAGTTCCTATCTGTACCAATATACATCTTCTGGTCTAGCCAGATTTGTAAGGTAGAATTGGGATCATGGTAATGGGGAAGAGGAAGCATTTAGGAACTGGAGGAAAGTTGTATGTTTCATCATTGCTGCACTGCACCCTGAATGGCTCATCTCCTCCCTGCGACCTTCAGATGGGCTTTGGGTCCCCACTCCGCACTCCCTCATCATTCACAATGATATGATTTTTTGTTCTTTGATGCCTGGTCCCTAATCCCTTCGACACCTCATGATCACACAGGCTGGTGTGCTTCTTCCATGTGGGCTTTTGTTGCTTCTGAGCTAGATGGCTGCTTGTTTATCTTCAAGCCTTTAAGACTCCAGACATTATATCTTTTGATAGCTGGGCACCATCAGCTTTCTTAACCCTGTTTGCTTATGCACCTGCTTTGTCTTTAGTGATCGTGTCAGGAAGGTGAGCATCATGGAATGCCAGGTTATTAGAACAAAGCGTTCTTGTATTGAGGGAGTACTTGAGTAGAGGCCCAATGTCCATCTGCTACCTTAATACTAAACCTATAAATATATGTGCATAGATCTGTTTCCCTATCATCATATATAAACATATTTACATATGTACATGCCTGTATTTAGACTTCTATAAATGCCCTTTGCCTTCTAGTTCTTTCCTCTATTTCCTTGTACTTTCCTCTTGTCCCACTACCATGCCCAGCCTTCATTTGGGTTTCAGTAATTCCTCTTAGTTATATTGCCATTGATCAGGCCTCTTACACCCTCTTCACCACTGATTTTGGTTCACTTGTTGTTCCCTTGTCCCTGGGTTTGTTAACACCCACTTCCTTCCCCCTGCCACCCCCATCCCATGTGCCCTCAGCACCAGTGGTCCCGTTATTTTCTCCTCCAGGTTGTTTATCCAGCCTATCCTATCTAGACAGACCTGCAGAGATAATAATATGCACAAAAACAAGACAGAGTAAAACAAAGCAACAAAAGAAAACAAAACAACAATAAACCAATGACAGAAAAAAAACAAAAAGCCCTTAAACAATTCAAGGTCTATTTGCTGACCTTTGGAGTGTTTTTCCGTTGAGTCTGATCGGGTACCATGCCCTGGCCCCAAAGTCTATTTTTCGTACTCCCTCAGGACTTCCTTGCTCTGCTCCCCTTGCTGTTCTGTTGCACACCCTTAGTGTTTCGCCTCAGTGTGATGGGTCAGATCAGGCGCAGTTCCTTCACTGTGTCTCCCAAATTTTATTATTTGAAGAAAATTTCAATTAATATGGGTACTAGGATATTACTTTATATAATAGAGTATTTATCTGTTTATCTTGCTTATTTAACAGGAAAACTAAAAACATTTCATCCACAATCAGAACTATGGATGACTTCTGTTGTTGTCAGATGCTGTTAAATCAGCTTCAACTCAGTGTTCGTACATTAACAGAGCAAAACTCTTTCTGGTCTGAAGCCCGTCTCACACACTCTTGTTAGGAGGGAGCCCATTGTTGCAGTCTTCAAAGCTTGAAGGAGGTTTTTGTGTAGATTTGCCCAGTATAGCACAGCCTTGGATTTCTTTCTGCGGCTCTCATGAGCATTGATTGTGGAGCCTAGTAAGGTTAGATTATTGACAACTTCAGTCTTTTCTCGGTTAATGATATGTATTGATGTTCATGTGTGAGAAATTTGGATTATATTGAGTTGTAAACCATACTGAAGACTGTATTCTTTGATCTTCAGTAAGTGCTTCAAGTCCGTTTGGTTTTCAGCAATCAAGATTGTGCCATCCTCATTTGACCACTTGTTAACGAGCCATTCTACAATCCTGAAGCTGCGTTCCTCTGCCTGCAGTCAGCATCTTTGATTATTTGCTCTGCATACAGATTAAGTCAGGAAAGGATACAACTGGACGCACACCTTTCTAGATTTTAAACTACATGAGAATCCCTTGTTCTACTAGAATGACGACTTCTTGGAATTTCCACTTTTTATGATGAATATCCATAGGCTGTTATGATCCGCATAGTCAAATGCCATTACATAGTCTGAAACTCAAATAACCATCTTTCTGGTATTCTCTGCTTTCAAACAGACTACGTCTAATACCAGCAGTGATATCCTTTGTTCCAAATACTCTTCTGACTCCGCAACTGCAATTTCTGTCAGCTTCCTGTCAATGTACTGCTTCAACACCTTGTGAATTATGTTAAAGTTTATATACATGTGATAATGATGTTAATATTTACCATTCTCTTGGGCCACCTTTCATCAGAATGGGCAAAAATATGAATCTCTACCAATTGGTTGTCCAGCTAACTTATCTCCCAAATTTCTTGACAGAGATGAGTGAGTGCTTCCAGCTGTGCATTGGCTTTGTTGTTGTTTTTCCAGACATTTTCACTGGTATTCCATCAGTTTCTGGAGGCTTCTCTTTCACTAATGCCTTCAGTATAGCTTGGACTTC